AAAAACCAAAAAAAAAAAAAAAAAAAGAAATACCTTTACATGTTGCTTCTCTAGTCTTACAGAGACTAGAGAAGTTCTGGTGTTGCCTAAACTCCATGATATAAATATAGTATTTAAGCACTTCTATCACTGAGTATTGACATTAATTTTTATATTTTCTTATTGAAGTGTTTTTATATTTTCTTATTTCATAGACTTATAATACATTGTGGTGATTGCTACACATGGAAATGTCTGCACTTAAGCATATAATTTTTATTACAAAATAATTTCTGACTTCCTCAGACAAGGGATTCCTGGTTCAAAGATTTAACTATCATGTGTCCCAGTGATGAAATTCTATTACAACGTGTAAGAGTTAATCTAAACAGGATGCTGATGTGCTCAGCTCTAAAGCTTCTACATTTATTCTGAAAGAAAAACCCAATGATTTAAAGGGATGCAATTGCCTTATCGGTGCTTTAAGAAGACATTGACGCTCACCTGTTTCTTCTCTTGAAGGTACTGATAACAGAGGTGGCTTGCCTTGGAAAGCAGACTTCTGGGTAAGTACCATTTTGGGGACTGGGGACATTAGGGTGTTTTAAGGGACAATTATCTACACTATGGACAAAGACTTTTAGGAGGTGACTTTAATGGATATAAATTGAGTGTAGATCTTAGGAATACAGGTTAAATATCCCTTATCTGAAATGCGTGGGGCCGGAAGTCTCCCAGAGTTCATATTTTTATAAAAGTTTGGAGTACCTGCATTTACAGAATTAGGTATCTTGGGGATGGTCACCAACAGACATGAAATTTATGCTACACATACATCTGGTACAAATAGCCTGGTGCTAGTTTTATGCAATATTTTAAAATAATTTTGTACATGAAACGAAACTCCATGGCCTGACTTCAAGTGTATACAGAAAAGTTTCAGATTTTTGAGCATTGTGCATTTTTATTTTCAGATTAGTGATGCTAGAATTAGATGTTATCTGGGGTTAAGTTAGTCAAGTTTTTCCAAATAGATGAATTTCTCTAACAAATGCTTTAAATACAAGGAAGATGACACCGTAGATACAAGCATCTAGATTTGCCCCATCTCTGTGTGCTGAGGCTTTCCCCAGAGATTTAAAGAGGTGTTGCCAGGCATGACAGCTCAGGATTGCAGCAGTCTTGAAGGCTGAGGCAGAACAATTGTAAGTTTGAGCCCAGGCTGGGCAACTTGGCAACTTAGCAACCTAGTAAGATCCTGTCTCAGAATAAAACAAAAGGGTTGGGTGTCAGGGCTGTAGCTCAATGAGAAAGCCTTGGAGTCAGTACCCTGTGTGTGTGTGTGTGTGTGTGTGTGTGTGTGTGTGTGTGTGTATGTGAGAGAGAGAGGAGAGAAAGGTTTCATCTAGTCAGTTTTGTTTCTTTTAAAAATTAATCACAATCATCACAGGGAATTTGTACCTGTACATAATATATCTTGATTCTTCTTTTTTTCCCATTCGCCTTCCCTGCCTTCAACCTTTCTTTCCTTATTTATAAAAACTTTGTTTCCATTTTTCTCTTCTACTTTTTTTTTCCTTTCCCCTTCCTTCCCTTCTGCCTTCCCCTCCCTTGTTCCTCTTCCCACTCGAACATTTTCTTCCTTCTTCCCAGTATCTATCATCCATTGTGGTCCTTATTAGCCCTTTCTGCTCCTCATATAAGAGAAAAAATATGATAGACACGTGGGTCTGATTTATTTCACATAAAGTGCATCCATTTACCTAAAAATGTCTCAAGTTCAATTTTCAAAGGTGGTAGTGTGCATGGTGGGCAGAGGTCTTATAAACACACTTGCGGGGCTGGGGATTCAGCTCAGTGGCACAGCGCCTGCCCGGCAAGCCCAAGGTCGTGAGTTCGATCCCCGGTACAGGAAAAAAACCAAAAAATAAATAAATAAATAAACACACTTGCTTTGCCTTAAAAGGCCATGCCTTTCTAATGTGATTATGTGTTATTTAGATTTGAATGTTAATTTCAATAAACTTAGAATATTTCCCTGGATCTAGGGAGAGCTAATCCTTTATTACATTTCCTTCTCCTACTGTCATGTTATCGGTAGTGTTGATAGTTAATATTTGAAATTGTTTTCCCCCTAATGCTGCTTTAGATAAAGACATCTTTGATCCTAAATAAGGATATTCATAAGAATTTAAACTATGAAAATCTTTAGCTACTCTATCTTGTTCTAACATGAAGGAAAAAAATCCATTATCTTTAAACATGAGACTACAAATTGTTCTTAAAATTCATTTTATTTTTATTATGGTATGCTTTTTAAAGTACTCTTCAGCAATGGGGAATGAATGGATAATTTGCTGTGGTAAGGGCATCATCGATGAGAAGAATGATATGATTTTCTTGGGGGGTTTTTGGTCTTTCTTTTGTCTTTTTTTTTTTTTGTCTTTTTGAGGCAACTTGCTACGCAGTTCAGGCTGGCCTTGAGCTCCCTTTGTAGTCCAGGCTGCTCTTGAACTCACAAGAATCTTCCTGCCTCAGCCTCCCGAGTGCTGGGATTACAGGTGTGTGCCACCATACCTGCTGATATGATTCTCTTGTACCTTCACATAGCTGTATACTACTACAGTCTATTTAAAAAGAAGGGCTTTAGTTTACCTTTAAGATGAAAACATTTACTTCTTAAAAATTTCAATATTTCTTCCTGTAGGTAACTTTTACAAACCAGTAATAGATGCTGGAATAATAGACACTGTAATTTCTCGCCCTTGTCTCAAATATTTTACTGTTCCACAAAACTTGCTATAACACTTCACTTTGTATCAATCAGAATAACAATACAGCCTCAGTTACCAAACACCACTGAAAAGCCAGGCTTAGGCTAGAACCAATTATTTTAGTAGGAGATATACAGCAGTAAAATGCTTTTATTTGACTTTAGTATGAGAGCACAGTCCTGGAAGAGCTTTAGTGAACAGTGTTCCAAAGGGTACTTGGACTTATCATTTGGTAGCAGTTTTTGATTGATTTAATTGTTTCAACCAAACTTCTGAGTTATTCATAACTCTGGCAAAAGTGACTTTTCTCTTATTGTCTTGTGTACTGTGTGTGTGTGTGTGTGTGTGTGTGTGTGTGTGTGTGTGAGAGAGAGAGAGAGAGAGAGAGAGAGAGAGAGAGAGAGAGAGAATAATTATGAAACTAAAATTTTGCAATTCTATAGCAAGTTATTTTTAATATTTGGCGGACCACTATAAGATGGTCTTTCAGTTACCAACAAACAATAATAAGTTCAACCTGGAATTTATTTTTATTCATTGAGCTTTTTCTAAGGCATTGTTTGGTATCTCTTTCTGCACGCCTGGGAAGGCAAAAGGAAAAATAGTTACATTCACCTCATTGCAAGGTCAGTAATGATTGAGAAACGTGAGACAAATGTAAACTATAATATAACCTGTATTATACAAGTGAAAACACTTTTATAGATGTAAACACAATAGTAGTTACTCTATCTTTTAAAATTGAGCTAAATTCCCTGAACATAAAGTTGAGAATGTGGTGATGCTTTCAACCTTGGGTACAGCAAGGCAGCGTAACAGGGCACTCTTTTCTTTCCAGTTACAGATGGTGCAGCTTCCCAAACATTCCTGAAATACAAAACAAGAAGAATAATATTTTAACAACAGAGTTATTACAACTCTTTATCCACCAGAGAGGCCTTATTCTGCTACACTTCTTTTGCAATCATATTGTGCAACAAATATTGGAAAAACCAGTGCATAAGAAGAAAAAGTGTTTCTCATAACTGTTCCTCTAATGGGAGTACTAACTTTCAAACACAGCGTTTTTGGAAGTTTTGTTGAGTGCAGTGGAGCATTGCAGACAGTATTCATTTTTCTTCTAATTTCATGTTGCCTGGCTGTAGATAGAAGGGCACCCCCCCTTATCCCAAATGTGCCTTTGCTCTGGGTCTGGAATGCCCCAACTGAATTTTGCACAGGAATGTCTAATCAGCCGCTAGATATGAGCTTCTTCTCTATAGTAGGATCTCCCCGAAAAAATGTCACAGGGCAAAGTATTACACTGTATTATGTTGATAGACTTGGCTACTATCCTTACATAAATCCTCACACAGGTGTGATTGAACATGGAGGACTCCCCCAGATGATGAACTTACAAAACCACTTGGACAAATCTAGGCAAGACATCTTGTTTTACATGCCCACAGATAGCGTGGGCTTGGCTGTCATTGACTGGGAAGAGTGGAGGCCCACCTGGGTGAGAAACTGGAAGCCTAAGGATATTTACAAGAACAAGTCTATCGAGTTGGTTAGGCAACAAAATCCACACTTTAATCTCTCACACGCCACCGCCGTAGCCAAAGCCGAGTTTGAGAGGACAGGGAGGGATTTCATGCTAGAAACTTTAAAATTGGGAAAACAACTTCGGCCAAATAGTCTATGGGGTTATTATCTTTTTCCCGATTGCTACAATACTCATTACGCTACACCCAATTACAATGGTCACTGCCCAGATGTAGAGAAGAAAAGAAACGATGCTCTCTTCTGGCTGTGGAATGAAAGCACTGCCCTTTACCCATCTATTTATTTGAGCACCCGGGTAAGGTCTTCTCCAACTGGTGCACTCTATGTCCGTAGTCGTGTACAGGAGTCCATCAGGGTTTCGAAAATCCCTAATCCTAAAAATCCACTTCCAATTTTTGTATATGTCCGCCTGGTTTTTAGTGATGCAACTACTACATTCCTTGAGCTGGTAAGTAAATCAAAGTATGACAACTATGATATAATGTCCATAAATAATGTTTAGTGGAATTTAATACCATTCTGAAGTTAGTGAAATTTAGCTTTTAATATTTAGGAACGTGCACACAAGTAGTTCTGTGTCATTATTTGAATCAAAACAAGAATATTTTTAATCTCTAATGTAGCCATGTAATCTTTTTCTTAATTTTAAAGAGAATTGAAAAAAAAAGAACAATAGCAATATGCCAACAGCATAGACAAAAACAAAACAAAGCAGAAACACTAAGAATGGTACAGGGTTTCAGAACAAAGTGATAAGGATTAACAGTGTTAGACTATATATACAGTTGTTATATTAAATATTTTTATCTTCATTGAAGTTGGTCAGATTACCAGATGTAAGATTGCAAGATGAATTGAACCACTAAAGAGAATGAAAAATAATAACAAAAACTTATAAACAATACAGTTTCACCAAACAAGATGGTAGGAATTCAACAATGGTTGTTATGTTGCATATTGTTGTCTTCAAATTAGTTGTTCAGATTACCAGATATAAGCATGCATTAGCAACTATGAAGAATTAAGTAGCGTATGTAATGCATTAGCACCGTTTCTTTTTTTCTTTGTAGCCTTCTTTTTTGTTTAAAGAAATAATAAAAGCAATGATAGTTTCCATATTTTTATAGTAAGGAAAGGGACTACTTAAAAATAGAAATAGTGTAGAAATATTTAAATTATTATTGGATCCAAATGCTTAGCTTTGGTATTACTGTCCTCTGTATAAGACTTTAATTTTCTTCCCCTCTGTTAACTTTCTATCACATTTGCCAGGATGATCTTGTGCATACAATTGGCGAAACTGTTCCTCTAGGTGTCTCTGGAATAATAATATGGGGAAGTCTTAGTTTAGCACGAAGTATGGTAAGTCCCACTGGTAGGAAATAGATGAAAGTATGTACCTGTAATGTTTTCTGGGATTATTTTGGTGTTAAATAAGAAAATAAGTACTATGATTGGTACATAGTAATAGGTGTTAAGTTAATATTGGCTGAATCAAAACACCTTGGATTTGTTTGGCTGGGTTTTAAGGCAGAAAATATTTCACTTATTTTCCAGGGAGAAGTCAGAAATTCAGTGAGATTAATTCAAATTCTTTGGACCACATGACTTAAAGTAGCAAAGAATATCTGCAATCTTACTTTTCTGAAATGGTTTTGATGTCAGAGAATAAAGATCTCTTTATTTTCACTATTTAATTCTCCAGATGAGGTCTTTGCCCCTTCTTCTTCAGCCAGCTGAATCACTGAAAGAGTAAAGCTCTATAAAGACATTGCTAGATTGGAGCTCAACTCTATTTTCTCTGATGGCTGTGGAAATATTAGTGATGAATATGTTATGGAGAATGTTATGGCCCAGGGCCCTCACCTTAGGACTTGTAAAAAAGAGTCTTACTTCTTTACTGCTGGAAGAGACCTTTTGAAGAGAAGTATGTCTGTCTCTTGTCCTTTAGAAAGACTAGCAAGATTCTTAATTTAAAAGTGCTTAAAAGAGTCAGATTTGTGAAATTCATTCTAGGTAATCACATACCTTCTACCAATTTTGCATAATCATATTGTCTCTGGTTTGATAGCCAATACAAAAAAGAGATAAAATATAAATTCAGAGAAAATTATATAACTTTTGTTAAAATCATGTATGTAAGAAAATTATCTTAAAGTTATACTTCTCATCAGTTTTATCTCAATTTTTAATAGCTATTTTTCCAAATCCATAAACTACTTCCTCAGGGATGCTGTTAATTCCATAATGGAAGCATTCAGAAACATTCTGTGCTCCTTCCTTAAAAAAAAAACACTCTGAGAATTGCACTTTCACTCTGACAAGGAATGAATCAGTCATTCCACAATGAGTAGGATGATGTGACATATCACTTAAGAGTCCACTTGTTTTTTAATATCGCTTTAACTCGAGATTTACATTTTTTTACTATGCCTCTTGCATTAGTCTCTTTCTTGTTGCTGACAAAAAAATACCTGACTCTTGCAATGTAAAAGAAGAGTCCATTTTGACTTATGGTTTCAGAGGTGTCAGTCCAGGGTTAGTTGGCTCCAAGACAGAAACGTCATGATAGAAGGGCATGGCAGAGCAAAGATGTTCACCTCGTGGCAGCAGAAGAGAGAGAGAGAGACAGAGACAGAGACAGAGACACAGAGACAGAGAGAGACAGAGAGAGACAGAGAGAGAGGAGAAAGAGAGAGAGAGAGAAGAGAGAGAAATTCTCCAAAGGAACACGGACAGTCACCAGCTCCTTCCTTCTCACCAGACCTCACAGCCACTAACAGCACATTCAGCCATAAACTCCCCAGTGGGTTAATGCACTGCTGAGTCGAGCACCCCCATGAGTCAGTCACTGTCCAAGAACTTTGCTTCTGAACGTGTTAGACTTTTGGGGACTTCTTAGTTCTAAACCAGAACAGTTCCTAAATCACTTAGGGATAGTCCTTCAACTTTAACTTTCCTCTGTTTAATGTCACTGCATTGATACTGCCCCTTATAGATTGTGTGTTATACAGATTGTGTTTTTCAAATTTTGATTATTTTAAATATTAATACTCTCAAGATTTCCCCTTTTTATCTATGTCACACATAACCAATAGACCCATGGATCACTTCTTATGTTACCTCCTATTCACAAAGAGCTTGAAAAATGGGTAATTGTGGGTTTTTCTGCAGTTAATGGAGCAAGTGTTAAGTGAGTCATTTCCTTCCACTCTTTTTTATTAGATTTAATAATGTGATGGAGCCAGTTCTATTGACCCTAGCTTGTGATACTTGACTGTTAAATAGGAATTTTTTAAGGCAGTTGTTAAACATAGCCATTATTAAAAATTTAATCATCAAAACATATACAAAAATACATGATGTTTAAAAGCAAAGGTAATAGATACTCAAAATAAATCCATTTCTTTATTTCATTTTATTATATGTGTTTTGCAGTTATTTATATCTATTGTATCTTTATAAATAGAAATACTATGTAATGGTTGGCATGCAACATCACACTACCCTACTGTACACTGGTGATGTATTCAACTCTCAATTTGTCATTGAATGGTGTCATATTGATAACATCAAATTGGCCATGGCAGAAGAATTTACATCATGATATTTAATGTTACATGCCTGGCCTATCAACTAGGCAGAAACTTTTAGATCTTTCTATAGACTGTATTTTATGTAGGCTAATGATTCTTAAATTATTCTCATTTTTTATCAGTCCTTGTTTTGGCTGATGCCAAACAAAACTGTTAAAACTGGGGATTTGAGAAAGCAGCTGTAATGTCATGTAAACTTGGTATAAATTCTCATCTTGGTTAGGAATGCAATATTAAAGAATACTGACAAAGTGAATGCATTTTTAGAATTTGAGTGCTCCAAAAGTACATAAATAAGGGAAATATTTGATTTGCTAATTACTATACAGGGAATTAATATAGAGGTGTGGATTGATAGGAAAAATATATCTGGGAGGGCACCGTCTAGTTAAAGCACCATCCGAATGACAAGATGGAGCGAACCATGTTAAGAATTGGGAGGCGCATTCCCAGCTAAGGGTAGAGTAGTGTGGTTTAAAATGAACCTGGTATGTTAGTGAAAGAACTACTATGTCCAAGGAGAGTGGGTATGAGAGGGTTGTCCAAGAGATAGGAAGGGTTAGACAGTGTCAGACTGCTATATGCAAGTCAAGAGAAGTTGAATTTTATCTCACATTCAATACAAAGCCTCTGAAGGTTAAGAAGACAGATTGTGTTTTAGTTTTCCATTGGTTCCATAATAGCAGCAGCAAACTTAGTGACTTAAAATACATATAAACATATATTAATATATAAAATATAGAAATATATTTACATGTAAATATATTTACATATATTTGCATGATTCTGTAGGTAGAGTTTCACACGGGTCTCAATGGGCTAAATTAAAGATTGTCAGTAGGCTGTATTCCTTCCTAAGAGAGATTCTTCACCTGCTCATTTGGGTTGTTCGCAGATTCAGCTGTGCTTGCAGCAATGTGCTCTCAGTTATCTCACTGGTTGTTGGTTAACGTTCATTTCTATCTCGTGGAGGCCCCCACATTCTTTAGCTCCTGGCCCTTGTCTTCTGTCTTCAGAATTAACAACAGTAGCTATTCCCCTTCTGGGTATTTTCCCAGAAGATCTAAAAACATCATATCACAGTGATATATGTGCACCCCTGTTCATAGCAGCACAATTTGTAATTGCTAAATTGTGGAAGCATCCCAAATGTCCATCCACCGAGGATTGGATAAGAAAATTGTGGCACCTTTATATAAGGCAATATTACTCAGCTATAAAGAAAGATAAACTCGAGGACTTTATAGGTAAATGGTCACAACTAGAGACCCTACTCATAAGTGAAATAAATCAGACCTGCATGTGCAAGCACCACATTGTCTCACTAGTGTAAAACCTGAAAGAGTTAATTTAAACTCAGAGATATGATAGACATTGTGAACTGAAAGGATAATGCTCAAGGGTAAAGGGCAACTGGGATGTGGGAAAAGAGAAGGGAAAGAAGGAGAAATTTTGTATGTACGTATATACAGGATAGTTAGCATAGTTGATCTACTGTCTTCTATTTCTTTGCTGAAAGAAACTGTCAGTGAGTCCTTGACTGATCAATATTGCATATGTCTGTTTTCATGAGAAACCACTTTGAAGATACCAGTACATAATACAACAAGCGTTGTTAATTTCCTACCACTTTGTTTGTAACTCTGTATTGTCTGTACTGTTCTTCTGCTATTGTGTAAAAGGTTGTCTGTCTGTTAATGTTTTCCTCCTTTTATTTTTAAAATAAAAAAAATTAACAATGGTGAGCTAAATCCCTCTTACACTTTGAATCTCTCTTCCCGCTTTATGTCATCTTTCTAACCCAACTGGAAATGTTTCTGTATTTTGAAGGATGTGCATAGTTGGAATGAGACCTCCCAGATCATTCAGGACAACCTTTTTTTGTCACGTACATGTCCTCAATCATATCTGCATACTTCCTTATGCCATATAAGCTAACAGAATCATAGCTTCTAGCGGGTAAAGGTCTGAGCAGGCATCTTTGGGCGGCCATTATTATGGCAGCAGTAGATGGCATCACATCAGGGAAGGTAAAGAGAAATAGATTACGATGAGAACTACTTAGATTCCTTGGCGTGCCAGCCATACCTTCCTCTGGTTTGAAGAGAGGTGAGAACAGCCAGCCAACTCAGCTGAGCTGTTAAATTGTCTTCAATGTTTTTCTAAGTAGTGTTCATGTTTCAGAACACACTGGACTCAGCATTAATTGTTTCAATTATTCATCTAGAATACCTTGCCAATTGTGTGAACAATTATTCATCTAGAATACCTTGCCACTTGTATTCATCTAGAATACCTTGCCACTTGTGCCATTGTTTACATGTAATTTGATTATACTTAACCTTTAATATATACTGTACATTAAACTTTTGACTTAGAATTCTTTTCAATGTTGTTTAAGCTTGTCTGATGTATGTAATGCTTATTACATTGATTTATAATTCATTGAGGTTTACAGAAGTTATGCTAGGCCCTGTATTAAAAAGATTTTTGTATTCATTTTATCTTTCTTTTTTTAACCTATGAGGTGGGCTCCAAAATTATCCTTATTGTAGAAGTGATGAATCTGAAGCATAACCAAGTTAACTGATGTGCTAAGGTCACTCAGGGAGAAAACTAAGGTTTAGAGGGTTGGAGTGGTTCCCAGTGATTCACATAGGTCTTTATCACTGAGACCAGAAAATTGATCAGGGCAAACAGACCCTAGAGGCCATATTCTAATATGAACCATTCTATTCCCTTGATTGATATATAAATAATTGAGGAAGATAGGCTAGGGTATGTTAAACCTCAAGTGATATATTATTCAGTGGCATGAAATGAGATGTAAAACAGTGTTCGCTTTGTTTTGTGTTTTGTACTGGGAATCAAACTCTCAACCTTGTGCTTGCCAGGTAAGCACTGTGCCACTGAACTGTACCCCGACCCCTGAAACATTGTTAGAAAAACTGGAATAATTTTGCTTGTTAAGGCTAAAAAGATTACATATTTCCTATCTCTTGGTGTGCCCATTGTTTTGTTCTTCTTTAATAATTGCTTATTTAAATAAACAATTTAACATATTCATGCACTGATATGTTGAACATTTTATAATTTTACAGAAAACTTGTCTGGAACTAGAAAACTTCATGAAGAATATACTCATGCCTTACATGATCAATGTCACTCTAGCAGCCAAAATGTGTAGCCAAGTGCTTTGCAAGGAGCAAGGAATTTGCACAAGGAAACACTGGGATACAAGTAACTATCTTCACCTAAACCCAACAAATTTTGATATTGAACTTGGGCAAAATGGGAAGTTTGTAGTACATGGAAAACCCTCACTTGAAGACCTGCAGGAATTTTCCAGAAATTTTCATTGCAGCTGTTATAGCAACGTGGATTGCAAGGATAGACTTGATATACACAATATCCGTTCTATTAATGTGTGCACTGTTAACAACATTTGTATAGATGCCCTTTTAGACTTTCAAACCAGTGGTGGTGATGGGACTTCTGTCTCAGATGACTCACATACAAATGAAGACAGTTTGTGGGACATCACCTCATCTGCTATGCTGTCCGTACATCTTCTTCCAAAAGGTCTCACCTGGTCCCTCTTACCTTTCTCTATGTTCTCACAGCACTGGAAATACTTACTATAGGCTCAGGGCCACTCAAAAATACAAAATGGGACATCATCTCATCCAACTGGATATCATTGCACAAGGAATCAACATTTTTTGAAATTTTAAAGCAAAATACACATTTTTCTACTGAAGACATTATAAGGCCTACGTTTCCTCCTACAAGGAATGAAGATTTGAATAAAACCAAATTACTGCAAATGAATGTCTTTATTAGTAGTTTGCAATTTATTTAAAAGTTAAAATGTTAAGGTGAAAACTTTTGTCCTTTAAAATGTGATATTCCAACTGTATAGTCTGTGTCACAGAACTATAATTTTTAACTATCTCGTCTTGGAAGAGTTTTATGAAAAAGGAAGCTAAAAAAATGATTACTCCTATTTTTGTACATGATTTAATATATTTTCAGAATTCACATCTATGAAGTACACATTTTTTTCACTCTTAATCATCAAGTTTCCATTTCATGCACCTAAAATGCTTTATTTTATCTAAGAATCCATTTACTTGGCCATTCACATCCTTCACACGCAGTGATGGTGAAACTTTTAGAGACTGAGTACCCAAACTGCAATCCCAAACCCGCTTCTTTATCACAAAGTGCCAGCACTGCAACTAGACCTGAGTGTCTGGGGGCTACTGGGGTGACTTGGCTTGTGTGCTGACGGACGGCTCTGCCTGCTCACTATGGCACATGTGCCACACATGGCCACCACTGATGCAGGGCATTGAGTGCTGATTCTCTACCAGGCTTGGTACTCAGTGTCACAGTTTCAAGGTGAAGTAGCATGCTTCTTGCCATTAGTGAATTTTTTGTTTGAAAGTGACAGAAATTAAATATGGAAAATTACAGCATAGTGTGTTGCAATGCTATGATAACCTTATCATGTTCTAACATTCAGAAAAAGTTGGGGGTGTCAGCACTTCCTGAAATAATGATGTGCAAGTTGCCTTAACGACTTTGGGTATTATGAGACAGAAGGAATTTCCAAAAGATGAACCATTGAATGTGGTATTTACTGTAATATAGAAGTCTGTAGTACTTCTACACACTGGGGATTGTACTGGGGATTAGACCTGCCGTGTTTTTCTGTCCCTAAACACACACACACACACACACACACACACACACATATATATATATATAAAATGAGGATATATATGTGTGTATATATAATAATGAGGATATATATGTGTATCTCTCAATATATATATTGAGAGAGAGAGAGAGAAAGAGAAAGAGGGAGAGAGAGAGGGAGAAAGAAGAGAGTCTGCCCCCAAAATTGTATATATACTTCAGGAGTTCACTGTCCTAATAAAGGTCTGTACCTGGTTTCAAAATAGACCACCAAATGGAAATACAAATTTGGCAGAAAATTTTAAATAAAATACACATGTATTTATAATTAGGCTTGCAGAATCAAAATGTATTTCCATTTTAATCCATTATGTTTATCGGATATTAGTTTGGTATCTGAATTACAGAGAGAATTACATAGAGTTCCAGCTCTTCAAGAATTTGCTGCTGGGGATATAGCTTAGTGTCATAAGCACTTGCCTGGCAAGCTTGAGGTCATGAGTTCGATTCCTGGTATAAAAAAAAGAATTTGCATACTGGTAGGACTTATAGTACCTTATAAATAAAAACTGTCCACAGAATGTGGTATAAACGTATAATGTAAAAACTGTAGAGTTCTAAGAATATGAGTCTGCTCAGCGAGTTAACAGAGAGTACCAAAGGAGTAATGACTGGCTTCAGAATTATTTAGTTGAGCACAGACTGTATAGCTAAACTGCCATTTGTCTTACAAAGCCTATCTGCTTGACAGAGGATTGAGTCCCAAACTTAGAAGAGAAGATATTTTTTAATGGAACAATTGGTGTTTGAAGATAAATTTTAATAGAAAATAAAGGCAACCACTGTGTAAATTGTAGACATATCCAATTTTGTTAGAAGAAAGCAGACATTCACTAAGAGATTACCAAAAGTTATTGAATGATATTTAGTAAGTAGTAATGAAGATATAACAGAGGTGAGTTTAAAAAAATGCCTTAAGGGTTAGGGGTTTAGCTCAGTGATAGAATGCTTGCCTAGCATGTATGAGGCCCTAGTTCAACCCGCAACACTGCACATACTCAGAAGCCTTTGCAGTGACTATAATATCTATCTATCTATCTATCTATTATTAATATACTAGTTCCAAAACTAATTGTTGTATTCTTAATATGTGTAAGAACAATGCCAATGCCAAGATGACTGATAGGAAAACTATAGCTAATGTAGGTGTGTAGGACAAAATAAAAAGTAAAAGGCTACAAAGACAGAAATACTTGCAAATATGCTAATTTTTATTTAATAGACCAGTAGTCATGATAATTTCTGAAATTTGTTATATATTGGCTATTGACAAAGTGATAGTGATCTTTAGGTGTCATCTGACCTACTATTGCAGAAGAGGACACATGAGCATGTAGCATTTTGTGACTAGATTGTTACGTGAGCATTTACTAGGCATATATTTCACCCTGCCTCGGAGGAGTCTGATTTGGGGCTGTCTCTTTTCCATCGTGTTTCTGTGTAAAGTCAGTGTAGACACCCATGAGTTTGTACTCTACAATATAATATGATAAAAAGTTGAAACTGTTGCAGTACAATTGCTATTGATTGCCAATTTGACAAGTTTCTGATTCAGTTCTTCAGCTATCATGGGTGAATGTATTCTCTTTCCCCAAAGAATATTAATTTTGAAACATTTAATTTGAAGTGACTTTAGACTGGGAATTCTCTATCACCCTCTGCTTCTGTGGATACATAATATGAATGATATTATGCCCATTTCTAAATATTTGCCTGATAGAGTCAAAGTAATAGAAAAACAATATTTTTGTTAATGTTTTGTTCTGTTATTTGTTAATATTTTGCTTCTCAGTGAGTTCTGTAGTGATTCTACATATTAGCTAAAATGAACAACTAGCTTTAAAACATACTTTTATTTCTTTATTTTTGGTACTGGGAATCGAATTCAGGACCTCATGCTTGCCAGGAAGGCACTGTGCCACTGAGCTGTACCCGTGGCCCCTAAAACATGCTTTGGAAACTATCTGATGGGAACAACTCTCTGAAAGGTTATTTTTGAAAGTTCTTCTTGACTCACTATCCCTGGTAAATATTGGATCCCTTTGTTACTGCTTGTCTCTAGATGTTCTCCAAAGGCTTAAGCACTAATAGGCAGGGCTTTTGGAAGAGTGTTGATTGGACTATAGGGAAGGTGTAGCTAAGCTGCTGTTAGAAGGTAAGGTCTGGTTGGAGGAACGGGTCACTGGGGCCTTGACCCAGAAGGGTGTGTCTTCTGACCTAGCTCCTCCCTTTTCTTTCTGCTTCTGGGTTGCCATGCCTTTAGCAGCTTTTCTTCTGCTATCCCCATCTGCCGTGCTGTCCTATCTTGGAGTCAGAGACAATAGACTGAACACATGAGCCAAAATAAACTACTCCTACTGAAGGTGTGGGTGTCAGACATTGTGTCCCAGGAATAGGGAAGTGACTAAGACAGCCTTTGAACCTGACAAACATAGCCTTCAATTTTATATGAACTCTAAATTCTGAGTTCAAAAGTGGTATTCCAGGACTCCACAGCTTATCCTTATTCTTTAGAGTGCAGAAACTAAAATGTGCACTTTTTCATTTGTAAAACTGCCAAGAGTGTTTCAACACAATCATTAAGATACTGACATTTTGACAATATTAAAATTTGACATATAGTATGATCTAAAATGCCCCTCCCCAAGTCTCCTGTGTTCAGATGTGGGACTTGGGCAAGACGATGGGATCAGAAAGGCTTTAACTCCCTTAGGGACTAGCGGATTAAGTGATGGGATAATGACCTGATGGCATGACTGGGAAGTAATGTGAATTTAGGATGTGGGAGTCTAGTGGAAGGGACTGGGTCACATGGCTATGACATTGGACACTGTATCTGCTCCCTGATCCCTTTCCATCTCTGGTTCTTTTTCTCTGCTTCCCGTCCACCATAAGGTGAGCAGTGCTCTTCATAACTCCATGATCTACCCCACCACAGCCCAGAAACAGCAGAGCCAAGCGACCATGGACTGAAACCTCAAATTGTGAGCCAGAATAAATCATCCCCCCTCAAGCTGATTTATGTTGGGTATTTTGTCACAGCCACAAAAACCTCACTACGGAGTAGCTAAGAATTTGAAAGTGAAACCCAATCAATAAAGTCCATCAATAAAATTTAGACTCCATAAGTATTTTTCTGCAAGGTGCATATGAGGCTTTGGGGGGATATCTAGATGTAAACTATAACAGATGGGAATGTCTGCGGGCAATCAAAATATAGGGAAAAAATGAATTTGGAAGGAAGAATTTATAAAGTGAGTAAAACAAGTAAAAATCAAGAAAATAGTGTTGCAACAGATGCTAGAATTGAAGGAGAGGAATAAGGTGAGAAGAGATGAGAAAATAACTACATCACAGCACACAAAAAAGAGAGCAACAAAGAGCCAAATTTATTGGGTACCTGAATCCTGAACTCCCGAAAGAAAATAGAACATACACAATTCCTTTGTGACCGCTATAGCACACAGCATGTGTCCAGATACTCCCTTTTTCTCATTTGCAGTCTGATTCCAGCAGCCACACTCAGACCCCGCTGGCAGGGAACGCAGGGTGGATTCCAGGGGTGGGCGGGCACATGAGCTGGGCTAACTCTGAGCAGAGTGGGCAAAGGTGTCATTCACTGGTTTCCCCTTTCTCTGGCCAGAGTCTGGGTTGGGTGGGGGATGGCCTCTTTATCCTTGGTGAGTCTGGAGAGCACACCACAGGAATGCAGCTTTCCCCATGTTAGGAGGAGAACCATGACTGGTAAGGGCCAACATATACAGAGTCTGTCCCCGGAGTCCAGGCATTGCGCCACTAGATCGGGTCCTTGGCTATTTGTGACACTATCATGATGGCTGCTCCCCAGGGAGGTGGCTGTAGAGCTGTTCAGACAGGCTGTGGCAGCTGGGCTTCCCCTTTTCAATTATCCAGGTGTTTAGATTCATCTACATAGATCACCCTTACTGTTAATGTTTCCATTTCATGGTGTAATCTCCTCCCCCACTTCAGAATACTTTGTTTTCTGTCAGTCCTCTCGATCACGGCCAATTGAACTCTTCGAGTCTGCCATGTTGGCTGTCATTCCA